GTGGTATTGGACAGTGAAGAAGGCTATCTAAAAGTACAAAGGGGTCTTAATCAGTGGGGCTGGGTGGCAGAAGGTGATTAATTTAGATAAATGTGAGGTCTTTCATTTTGGTAAGACAAACCAGGACATGCACAGTAATGATAACAGTGTGGAGCTGGAAGAACACAGCAGGCCAGGCAGCGTCAGCAGAGTAAGAAAGTTAATGTTAGGGCCCTGGACAATGTTGTTAAAAAGAGAGACCGAGGGATTCAGGTACATAGTTGCTGGAAAATAGTGTCACAGGTAGACAGGGTGGTGAAAGTGTTAAGTGTGCTCGTCTTCATTGCTCAGACCATTGAGTATAGGAGTTGAGATGTCATGTTGTGGTTTTGCAGGACATTGGTGAGGCCACTTTTGGAGTACTACATACTGTTTTGTTCACCCTGCCAGAGGAAAGATGTTATTAAATTCGAAAGAGTGCAGAAAAGATTTACAAGGGTGTTACCGGAGCTGGAGGGCTTTAGTTGTAAAGACATGCTGGGTAGGCTGGGACTATTTTCCCTGGAGTATAGGAGGTTGAGGGATGACCTCTTAGTGGTTTCTGAAATCACGAGAGGCATAGATAAGGTGAGTAGCAAAAGTCTTTTCCCTAGATTGAGGAGTTCAAAACTAGAGGGTAAAGTTTTAAGCTGAGAAGAAATATTTGAAAGAGACCTGAGGGGCAACTGTTTCAGACAGAGGGTAGTGTGTATATGGAATGAACTGCTAGAGGAAGTGGTAGATGCAGATACAGTTTCAACATTTAAGACATTTGGACAGGAATAGGAAAGGTTTAGAGAGAGATGGGCCAAACACAGGCAAATGGAACAGTTCGGTTGGGGAAACTCGATCGGCATGGATGTATTGGACCAAAGTGTCTGATTCCGTACTGTATGACACTGTATTTTAAATCAGGCTAGTTTATCTAACAGACAGAATGAATCTCCATTTGGAGAGGCAAAGTCACCCAGCGTGGCTTTCAGATGACTGTGATATCGGTCAAACTTAATTGAATATCGAGGAGGTAACTAAGTATATTGGTGACAGTTTTGCATTTAGTCATACAGCACAGAAACCTACCTTTTGGTCCAATCATCCATGCTGACCATAATCCCAAACTAAACTCTTCCCATTTGCCAGTGCTTGGCCAATATGTCTCCAAATCTTTCCTATTCCTGTACAAATGTATTTTAAATATTGTAACTGTACCTGAATCTACAACGTCCTCTGGAAGCTCATTTCACACGTTAACCACTGTGTTTAAAAAAAAAAGTCATTCGTGTCCTTTTTAAGTCTTCCTCTTTTTCACCTTAAAAATATGCCCCCTGGTCTTGAAATCCCCCACCATAGAGAAAAGACAGCTGCCATTCACCTTATCTGTATCCTTTGTGATTTATGGACTTAAGGCTTTTCACAAGGTGTTGCATGGGAAACTGGGGCAAGTAAGAGTCCAGTGGATCCAGAGCAACATGGAAAATTGGAGCCAAGATTACCTTTGCAGCAGGAAGCAAAGGGTGATGGTTGAGAGTTGCTTGTGGCTGTCAGCAACTGTCCAGCTGCATACCACAGAGTTTGGTGCTGGCTCTCTTGCTGTATATAGTCTACATTAATGATCTAGACTTGGATATAGGAGGTATGATCAGTAAATTTGCAGATGACACAAATTGTTGTGAAAATAGCAAAGAGGGAAAGTCTTAGACTACGTGTCAGATGGGCAGAATAAAGAGGAACAGAATTTGATTTTGAATAGTGTGAGGTGTTGCATATTGGGAAGCCTAACAAAGTAGGGAATACATGATAAATGGTAGGACTCTGAAAACAGGATCATAGGGACCTTGGTATGCATGCCCATAAGTTCTTGAAGATAGGGCAAGGACATAAAATGGTTATGAAAGCATAAGGAATACTTTATATATAATACAAAAGCAGGAAGTTTACAGTAGAGCTGTACAAGATGTTAGTTCACAGCTAGAGTACTGTGTGCACGCTATAGGAAGGATGTGATTACCTGGAGAGGATGTATTGCTGATGTCAGGATATTTTGCAGGAGTGTTCCAACTCTGAAGAGAGATCAGATAGATTGGAGTTCTATTCCTTGGGGTAGAGAAGGCTGAGGTCTAGAAAATTGGGGAACGTAGTCGGGAAGAAACCTTTCCCCATGGCGGTAGTTAATAACCAAGGGGCGTAAGTTTAAGGTAAGGGACGAGGGGTTTTGAGGAAAACATTTTTTTACTTAGAGGTGGAGGTTAATTTGGAACTCACTTTTTGAAAAATACTATGGGTAGGAACTTGCCAACATCAGTAAGAATGTAAACAAATACTTTTAAAAACCATAATGCATAAAGCTACAGGCAAAGTGTTCGAAAATGGGAATGGAGTATATGACTAGCATAGACACAGTGGGCAGAAGGGCCTCTCTCTGTGCTGAGACTCTGACTAAATTTAAATCACACCAGCTGTCGGGGTGGAATTTTAATCGTTGTCACCAGAGCGTAGGCTGGCCCTCAGATTTACTATTTTTGATATTACTATTACGTTACGGCCGCCCTTGAAGGAATGTTTAATTTCCTGGGTCCAATTGTCTAATGAAATCAGTTTAATTTGATATATGAAACCTGACCATCTCATCAGAGGTGACTGTAATTAGTTGTACATCTTCAATTGATACAGTAACCAAGAATGAATTTTAATCTCTTCCTTCACAGATGCATGTGTGCAAGTAGAAGCTAACTAAATCAGATTACCCTGCTGTTGAAAATCCTTTTTAATCTTGCTTTGGAAAAATCATTTCCCAGAAGGCTGCAAAGGATCTATCATTTTCATATTCCAAGCAATGACTTCTGGAATTATCTAGAAACTACAACATGGGCAACTGGTCCGTGACGAGTTGTGTTTCAAGAGATGACAATGTTCCCCCCCGCCCCCCGACTCCCTCCAAAATGCCCTATTTAATACGAAAGTTATTTCTGTCTTGCATTATATTGACGTGTGGGTCTTGTGAAACTGGCTTGGAAGTCAAACACTCTAGCCTTGATTTTGGAAATGAGAAGCTGTGCTGCCATGATGCAGCAAATAATCTACCGATGTGCAGTTTGTACAACTGGGAGCTTGCCAGGTTTCAATTTTTTAAATGTATATTTGTCCTGTAGATTGTACAATGCTTGCAAGATAATTACCTATATCACTGGTTCTTACTTGTCTGAGGAAGGTGGTGCTCCAGTCTCTGGAGTCCAACTTGAACCCTCAACCTTCTGGCACAAGTTGAGTATGCCTCTCACAATGACTGGTATGAGGATGGATTCTACCATGCAGTACTGCAAATAGGAAACTTTCCTGCCTGGTTAGTTATACAAATGATTTGCTAGGCCTGCCAGCATCATGAGTAAATACTTGCTCTCTCAACAGCCACATTGTAAAAGACTGTTTTACTTTCCTGTATTTCTGGCTTTG